ACATGCGGGTGATCTCCATCACTGACTCCCCCTCCTGTCTCAAACTCAAAAACTCCTGCGACAAACGTTCCTGCTCGACTCACGGAATGTATCGGGCGCGGAACATCTCCCTGAACTGCTCCCAAGTAACAGCAGCTCTCTGATCATTAGTGAACGACCCAGTCGCTAATCTCCACCAGTCCTTGGCCTCGGACCTTAGCAAGTTCAGAGCACACGTGACCTTCTGGTCAGTAGGACACGAGCAGGTAAAGAAACACCCCTCCACATCTGAGATCCACCTCATAGCCTTGATGGGATCCTGCATCCCATCAAAAGTAGGGGGCTTCGTATTATCGAAGTCCCGATACTGGAAGCCCTTAATGGCTCCTCCCCCTGCTGCGGATACAGTTGATGCAGCTGCTGCGATAGGGTTGCGTATCACTCATCAAAGTACTTGACCATGGCGGTCTTGATAGACCCAAACATCTCTGGCAGTTGTGCCCAGAACGCAACAACAACCTCATCATGCAGAATCTCTCGAATCCTGGCATCCAACTCCTCTGTACCCATCTGCACCACGGGCTCAGGTGCTGTTAGCCCCTACTGGCCTCCATCTCCCGATCCTGATCCTGAACCGGATCCAGTCACGAAGCGTCTCGTCATCACCATTTTGAAACACACCACAAGATATCAGATAATCCACATAATAACTAGGAACCAACTCCCGAATAAACCCTAGGGATTGTGACTTCCTTGATACACGTATGGGTCCTGTGCTTTCAGTAGTACAGGCCCATACTACCTTCCACACCTACTCATATTTTTCTCAATTCTCACAACAACACCCTAACAATATACATAAGCATGGCGAGCGCTCAATCCTCACCCCTAGAGGAAGGCTAACGGAATCACAATTGACCTACCGGCCTCACACAACCCACCCATTCATGAAACTTCTACCAACCCTGCAACATTAGTGTATGCTAATCATACATAACGTTGGGCCCTATAGGATTTCAAATATCCGACCCTACCCCAAGCCCAAATCAATAGAACATAAGCTCCAAATCAAACATTCTCAGGCTATAAGATCTTAATTATGTATAGTCGTGATGCATACACAAGTAACTACAGTAATGATGTCAATCTCATACAAGGAAAAACCCTAGGCTAGCAGGCATCATGTAATCAGGCAATTCTATCATGCAATCCCTGAAGATCCCTAGCTTAGTACCGGCATACTGTTCTGAGATATCACATAATCAAATAACTGCATGGTATTTTGGGGTCAACTTGCTGGCTCAGGCTGATCGTACACCTTGCATTCTCCTTTACTTATTTTAAAAACCATTTTAGAAATCATTTTGAAAACCTTTCCTTGATTTGAGACTGGATTCACACAAATGTTCCTCCAATTCACTCAAACCAAGGCTATGATACCAACTTGTAACACCCAAAATTTCATGGCAATTTAAAACTTTTTCAAAACATTTAAAACCATTCATCATTACAAAGTTTGTTTTCAAAATATCTAATATTAGAGTTTTCCCAGAAACATAAACAAATCATGAGGAGCCGTAAGATCATACCTTCGCCTTGCCGCGATCCCCTGATGTACCTGAAACAATAAACTGAAACTGTAAGCCCAAAAACTTAATAAGTTATACCAATGTCATACAATTATAACAACAACATATAACAATTACATGACAGCATGCATGATCAGCCTTCAGCCTAACTGGACTGCCTCGCAGGGCCTACAACCTATCTAGACCACTCCCGAGCCTTCGACATGACTGTACTGCCTCGTAGGGCCTACAACCTATCCGGATCGCTCACCGGGTATGTTGGCCTACAACACAAAGCAGGACCGCCTCAACCCAACCCCCAATCAACAAACAAACATGTGCACATAAATATCAAACGCCAGCTCACATTATATACCAGTCAAACCGATCTATCAGATCACTAGTCATAGCAACATCCCTAGTAACCAGGGTATAGACCTAACCGGTCACTAACATAGCATCATCCTATAGCCAGGACATTGACCTAAACAGGTCACTACGTATAAGCATATCACCATCCTAACTACCAGGATGTAATCAATAAACATATCATGCCATAACCAGATACAATCTATAAAAGGGCCGACCTTGGTGCCTTAAACCTTGTTAATATAGTGAGGATAAGTCACGTCGTACTGTCGACTCGAAGATAAACTCAAGCTCTAGGATTACTGCCACGAACTCCACCCCCATATTCATTATAAACCATACTTGTAAATTTCCAATCTTTCCAAAATGTCCTCCAAAAGTCAACTGGTTAACTCATGGTCAAAGTCAAAGTCAATTGTCAATGTCAACAGTCCATGTTGACCTCCCGAATAAATCGGAGTGACTCGTCCTTGCAATACTCATCCGTTCGCCGAGTCACCGGAGCGACTCGTCGAGTTCCTAAGGTTCACGGTTGAAGCTCCATGGCCACTCATCGAATTTCCCCCTGCAACTCGACATGTTCAGATGCATCCAACAGTTGGGAAAAACCCTAACTGACTTGCCGAGTCACTCTACTCACTCACCGAGTCTTCGAAAATCTTCATCGGACTCGCTGGGTTGTTCATCCAACTCATCAAGTTCAGGACCATCTTCATATGACTCGCCGAGTCGAATATGCGACTCGCCGAGTCCCTTCAATTCTTCATCCATACAGGTGCATTTTAAGCCATGCAAAGGTCCTAGATTGCAGATCCAACCTCCTTAGGCATGCCTATCACGTAAAGTTGAAAACTTTACGTGCATGCAAGGCTTTAAGGCCCTTAAATGACAAGAATAAGCTTTAAATGAAGTCTCACACTTGAGGGAAGGCTCATACTAGGCGAGGCTGATAACTTTATGGATCTAGGAGCCAAAGGGAGTCCAAATCTGAAGTTACAACTTCAGATCTTAGCTCAAACATAAGTAGCCTTTCATAAAGCCCATCCAAAAGAGATTTTTGATGAACATGAGCCAAGGAAAACAGTCTAATACCTTCAAGAGAATGTTCACTGATGTAGATCTTGAATCCCACGAGTTCTTGCTTCTACTTGCTTGTTTTCCCTAAGTGTTTCCACCTCCAAAATTCCTCCTCCAAGCTTAAACACCCCAAAAGAACACACACACACGATTTAGGGTTTGAGAGGGACAAGAAACAGTAAAGGGGAGGCTGGGGGAGGCCAATGATCCTTTAAATAGGGTGAAATGCCCCGAAATCTAGGGTTTAATCTGCAAGCTCCTACTCGTCGAGTCCGCTCTTGGACTCAGTGAGTAGATCACTTAAAACACGCGGACCAACCCGCTACTACTCGACGAGTAGGGCGTCCAACTCGTCAAGTAGACCCAAAAACCAAAAGGATTCATACATAAATCAATACCTGAGAATCGAGGCATTACACGACGAGTTCTTAAGAGAACTTAACGAGTTGTTCTAGAAGTATCCCGACTTTATTGGAAAAAGAGGGACTCGACGAGTTGGATCGCGATATCGCAATTATGTGATTTATGGAACTCACCGAGTTGAATAGTAACTCGACAAGTTGAGTCAACTCGGAGCATTGACTTTGACTTTGACCAGAGTTGACCATTAATAGGGTTAGAAGTATGAAATGGTATTAAAGGGGATCTTTTATGTTTAGGGGATTCAACTGAGTTGATATTCAGAGTCGAGGACTATGCAACTACTTTTTCGTATTTGAGGTGAGTTGCCTTTCCTGTATCAATGGGTCTAAGGCACCAATGTTGGCCCACTAGTAGTTGTTTATAGTACAAATGATTGTCTGTGTGATAATTGTCTGGTATGCCACTATTTGTTGTGACTTATGTGCTTATTTGCTATGGTTTTATGTGGTAGTGGTAGAGGGGTGAAATAGACCCCATATCCGGTTGATTAGACTGAAGGGGAGCCACCACCCATATATGCTCGACAATATCCGGTTGAATATAACGTAGGGGAGGCCAACACCCAGATATGATCGGTAGTATCCAGTGGAATAGACCGAATGGGAGGCCAGCACCCAGATATGCATGGCAGTATGTTTGCTGTATGGTATGTGGTATGATGGGGGGACTCACTAAGCTTCGTGCTTACAGTTTTCAGTTTTGGTTTCAGGTACTTCTTCTTCAAAAGGAAAGGAGCCGACATGATCACAACGTATCACACTATGATTTTCCACATATGAGATTTTGGGAGTTGTACTACGATATTACTTTTATATGACATGTCTTGGTTATTGACTTACTGGTTTTATTCATGATATGAGTGGCACTATTGATGTTTCATACTACTATTTTTACAATTTACTCAATTAAAAATGGAATTTTTGGTTTTTAATTTTGGGATGTTTCAGAATCGCTTACTTACGGAGTTTCATGAGACTCCCATGGCGGGTCATTGCGGAATTAAGAAAATGTTAGTGTCATTATCTACATTGTTTTATTGGGAAAAAATGCGCAAGACGATGAAGGAGTTTGTGGGTGAGTGTGTGGTTTGCCAACAAACCAAGTATTCGACCCAGGCATACGGAGGATTGTTGCAACTACCGTCGACTCCGAAGCCTGTTTGGGAAGATGCCTCTCTGGACTTCATCACCAGGCTACCTACTTCGAAGGGCCTGACCGTTATTTTGGTGGTAGTTAACCGTTTAACAAAGTATGCGCACTTTGGGACGCTGCCAATTCATTATACAACCCAAAAGTTTGCTGAACTTTTTCTGGAAATCGTTGTCAAGATTTCCCAAAAGTATGGTGTCGGACAGGGACACAATCTTTGTTTGTACATTCTGGTCGCATCTGTTTACATTAAGTGGCACCACGTTGAACCATAGTACGACATACCACCCCCAAACTGATGGGAAAACGAAGGTGGTGAATCGAGGGGTGGAACAATACTTACGTGCCATGACTTCTGACTGACCACAACAATGGGTTCGTTTATTGGCATGGGCTAAGCTGAGTTACAATACCAACTATCATATTAGTATTGGTATGTCACCTTACCAGGTTCTATATGGTAAGCTTCCTCCTTATCTCATTCCTTATGCAGCGGGGTCGTCAAAGGTAGTTGCGGTTGAGGAGCTATTGCTGGAACAAGATATACTGATGCGACAACTTAGGGAGAATCTGGTGGCTGCTTGTAACTTAAAGGAACTCTAGGCAAATCGGAAAAGGCTGGATGTGGAATTTCATCCGGATGACAGGGTTTTTGTCAAGCTACAACCGTACCGGCAAATTTCGGTTACCAAATGACTTTCAAATAAGCTTGCAAAACACTATTATGGGCCCTTTAATATTGTTGAGAGAGTAGGAAAAGTCGCATATCGGCTAGATCTTCCGCCCACTAGTCGTATCCTGTTTTTCATGTTTCGGTGCTCAAACTTTGCAAAGGTGGAATTGGAGTCAGCGGATCAGTATTACCTGAGACTTTTGAGGACGAGCACCCGGTGGAACAACCGTTGAATGTTTGTGATGTCATCCAAGTGATAAAAGAGGTCACTCTCAAGTTCAGGTCTTAGTCCAATGGTCTGGTTGTTCACCTGAAAATGCTACTTGGGAGGATCTGCAGAAGTTTCGTGCAGTTTATCCTGAACACAACCTTGAGGACAAGGTTCTTTTTGAAGCACAGGAGAATGTTATGCCCGAATTAAGCCCGTTAACAAATGTGGATGTTGATCTTAGCCCGTCAGCCAGAGGTCCGGGTCTAGTAAGGAAGTCTGATATGGTGGTGGTAAAACCCGTTTGGCAGAAAGATTGTCGGATGGGTAAAGTCACGAAGTAGGATAAGATTGGTTCTATGTTTTTAAAGTATTTCTTCGGATTTGGATTTCTATTTAGATTTAGTTTATCTTTTCGTTGTTATTATTTAAACATTAGCATGGAATGGAATACAATAACTTTTGAGTCAAATTCTGTCTTCTTTCTCTCAGTTTCTCAGGGAGTTTGCACTCATTCAATGTAGTGCTCGTTGATCATATAGGCTTGAGTGTATTACTATCCTTAGCATCTCCATTTTCTTAAATGATTCACCTTTTACTTTTCTTATAAGCATATGAAGCTAATATGGAATACCACATCAACAGTTAAGTTAACGCAAAAAAAAATGTATAACGCTAATATGTCACACTACATCAATAGTTAACTTAACGCGATCATCTGGTGACCTGAGACATTAATGGACACAAAAAAAACAAGTTAACTCCACACAAGCAAACATCTAGTGAGTGGAGACTTTACATATAAAACTAATATGACACACCACATCAACAGTTAACTCAACACAAACATCTAAAGGCTCGAAATATTAATGGACACTAAAAAAAACAAGTTAACTCCGCACTAGCAAGCATTGGTGACCTGAGACATTAATAGACATAAAACCAACACAAACTTAAGTTTTTTATTATTTTTTTTAATGGTATTTGCCTATGTGAATTTATTCATTAACATGTTATTATAATTTTTTATTTTAAATTGCCAAATATCAACACTCAGCTCAAGATGAGATATCGGTTCCTATCCGTCTGCATACTGATCTCTCCGCTGGAAGCAACACTTGGCTACCATCGCATCTTCTACAATGGCTTCTCCTCTCCCCCTTCCCTCTGTTGCCCCTAATTTCAAGGTATATATATGCACACTCTTGCTTGCT